GCCTAGCCAGCATCTTGAATGTTTTAGCCAATTTGATTCTCTGGACTGATCAGCATGCATAAGTCACTGTAATCGTTTTCAATTCATCTACACTACTGCCGTCATATCCAAAAAAATTAAACTGCCCCAAAAATCAGTACAAGAATAGCAAATTATTAGCCGATTGATGCCTGAGAGAACGAAACAACGCAGATGTTAATGTTATAACTTTAAATTTAAGATTTTAAACTGAGCCACTCATCAAATTGGCGGTAGCCGTGCCATAAATCAAAATATCAAGCACTGTGATTCAATTTAAATCAAAAAATAAATCAAACATACACCCATCAAAAACCTATCAGTGTAAGCGGTGAGATTTACCAAACGCTGGTGCATGATATATGACCATGTAAACCGCATTAAACGTGTTTCATCTACATTTTATCAAACGCAGTCACTCACCTCTTTCGTCTGCAAAGCATGGAAGTCTGCCTCTGACAAACAGGGCTTCTTGCGAACTTTTAGATGACCCCAATAACTGAAAGCACAGAGTTAAAACCAGTTTTCTCAGCAAAATAAAAAAATTACCTCGCGGCGAGTACATGCAAATCCTGCCGTTTTCCCTTCTCTTCGTCACGGATTTGAACTACCTTTTTTTCGATGGCCACGGTGAACTGCTTTACCACCGGATAATGCGGTAAAATCTGAAAATTAGAGCTATCATGAAAGTAGCAATGACGCTCTGACAAAAAAGCGGTAAGCAAACAGCATCATCAACAGTGCATCAAAGAAATACCACCTTCAATTAATAAATACAGGTCACTCAAAATCATCGTCAACATCATCAGGTATTAACTGCCGGGAACACTGTCATTCGTCCCACTATGCTACGGTAAGCGTAGCTGAGAGAGATATGGCAAATCAACAGCGTGTCCATTTTGTCAGAAGGCTATGGAGGTGGAATATGGCTATGGTTAATTTTGAAAGACTGGAACAGAGGCGCCATCGAAGTTACCAATTCTCAACTCTCTGCAGGTCAGCATTTTGAATGTAGCTAGCGTGGCCTACGCTGATACCCTAAAATTCCCGTAGAATGTAATTAACTTAAGTGAGCATGCGCAATGTCACTGATACCGTATCATGGGTACAGATGCTAAAAAAGAAAGGTGATAAGACTGAACTTCATTACAGGCCATCGCTGAATGACCTGGCTGAAATGATAATAAAAACTAAATGCAAAAAAAGTACAGAAGATTTAATTCAATAATATAACCGCAAGAACAAAGCAGACAGCCAAGCAAAAACTTATTTAAATGATCTGAACCTCAATTCAAATCCTTATCGTTTTTGATCATGTTAAACGACGATTTACGCATGCCCTATCTCGACCAAATAACCGCATAAATTTTATCTTTTATCTGAGGAAAATCTTATCACCGTAAAAAATCTTATCAACCTCAAATAATTATTTCACCAGAGTGACGAACAACCTCAACTTATACAAAAAGCAAGTAAACTGTGACCATGTATACCTTGATGAGGACAAGGAGCGCATTTCTGATGGGAACGAATGATCCGGATCCCAGAGAAACGAGCAGGGACTAAAAGCGGTGGCGTTGAATACAACAAAGCAGTCTAGAAAACGATTTCTTCGGACTTTCGTGATTTTGAAATGCCACTTGTGCACAACGTGTCGGTAGTTTTCATAGTCTACCACATCCTTCGCCGGGTCGTTGACGGTCATCGCGTTGCGAAAGCGGGTAATGAAACCGGGAAAATTGGCGCATTCCTAAGAAGGCGTGTGTACAGTGTCTGCTACGGAGTCGCTTGGACCGAAGGCTAATGGCTAATGGAGTACGCCTACCTTGTCGAACTTGTCCTGGCTCTCGTGCCATCTCATTATGGTGTCAAGCGAGGCGCACAAGAAGTGACCGTAATGATTGGCTTCGTTTTCAGACATGCAGGCGATGACTGGGCAGATGTCCCAAAATATCTAAAACAAGACGAACAAAAAGATAGCAACTGTTTCCCTGCTGAACCTTATCGCATTAAATTTTGTTTTACCCTGTCATAGCAAATGAGGGTCGAAAAGTTCCTGGTTTTCAATGAATGCATCATTTGGATGAATTTCGCACAAAAGATGGCATCAAGGTCGGAAAAAAGACACCGCGGAAAAATGCACAACTGAAGTAGCTGAGTGATCGACGCACTTCTTGGCGATTCTAAAGTGACCAAATTCAAAGCCATTTAAAGACAAATAAGTCATACAGCTACATGTCATATAAGGGGCAGAGAAAGCATACACGTTTATGGGTCAATAACCCCCCCCATCAACATACATGCATAAAAACGACAGCAACGCATACTTGCAGGAAACCAATCGTCCTTTTCGGAGACCAGACGCTTGATCACTCGATTCACGTGATCCAGTTGACGTCGCTGTTCTTCACTGAGTTTGTTTTCATACTGTTGATAGCGTTCTTTCTCTTTGCGACGTTTCGCCTCGCCCAACTCTCTCGATTCGTCCAGCTGCTGAACCATGCGGTGCATCTTTTCGATTTCCCGTTCATAAGATGCACATGGTACATTGAGATCGTACATGGATAGCATCCAAAACGTAATAAAGCATCTAGCGCTAAAAGGAACTAATTTTGAAGTGTGACTACGGTTCAGTAAACGTTTCTTTGTGACTAAGCTGTCTTCTACTGACTCGAAAACTTTCAATAATCACTGAGACCTGTCTTGCAATGCCATCTGCATACGCTGAGGGTTTGTGTATATTACTGACCCTGACGGCACCGCCGGCGGGACCACTGAAACTAGTTTTGGTATGAGCGTCCATGCCGAAACGGCTAAACGAGAGATCAGACCATGAGTATCTAGCCTATCCGAGAACGTTACATGGTAAGGTCAGTTAGCAATAATTATATTGCACGTCCTTCGAAAGGGCGCACTGAAAGCATAAGCAGAAGGATTCTATCGAATAGCATGCCACTACTTTACAGTTCTGCTCGTAACTGGCAGCCGAATCAATCTACCATACAATCACGCCAGTGAAAAGTAAAAAGCTAAATTTTTAAGGCGACGATCAGAATCCGCAAAAGCGAAAACGCAAACATATCATAAAGAAGTCCAAAATGCTATTCATTGATGAATTACATTCCTCAAGCCTTTCACGAAAGTAGGAAAGTTCACAGCCGCTTCCAGGAGAGCGCAGTGGAAATTAGTTCGGTTTATGACAGAAGCAATATCGGTTCGAATTAGAATCTGGCACAGACTTTCTTATTAGCTGCTACCTCCATGAACAAGAAACTCCAATAAGCTTTGGTTTGACCAGCTGAAAAACGCCATGTAAACTGATAACCTCCAATCTTCTATTAAAGTTGCACACTTGCAAACAAATCCAGTTGGACCTACCTTAGATCATACCATACCGATGGTGAATAAACGACAGCGATTTCTTTCGCGAGCGGCTCTAAAACATAGCTGCAAGCATTTTGGTAATGCAGCACCTAAATGAAAAAATGATTACGTTAGAAGAGTAAGACACGGAATCAAAAGTCGAAAATAGTACACATATAATGCAACGTATACAGCATACAGTATGCATACAGCAGAAATATTAGTTCATACGTTTGTGTGTTAACCTGCATTTAACTGTTCCTAAACCAGAATTAACAGCTAACAGTACTGGCTCATTCCGCCTAACTGACTAAAATGGCCAGTTAAAGGCAAGAGCTCCATGGTATTTGAACTCTATGGTATCCAGCAGTAATACTAGGTGCACCAGGGATCAGCTTGTTTGTTAGAGTAACGTGCTGCTCATCACGAAAGATATTTCAGGAGCCAGGAATATTTATGTCGCTGTCATAAAAAAATGAAACCACAGTCTGGATATATACTCCAGACAGTGGTGAAGTAAGCGATGAAATATGGTTCTGTACCAGTTAAAAGGTTATACAAAGGCAAATAACTACCATCTACTATAAAATGTATAAAAACGGCTTATTTATACGCAATACAAACAAATAGGTTGTTCAATCCAGTGATTCGTCTCTCCCGAACCTTCTTCAGCTCCTATTCTTTGTCCCAGTAGGCATTTTCGGAGTTTACGTTGAAAATGTCAACCTGGACAAAAGATACGAACTCTACGTGAATTGGACAAGCCTAATCAAGGTCGTGACCAAAAAAGTACTTAACCGACAGCATGGACTAAAGACGCATCTTTGACTCCAGACGCTATAACAGCTGCAGATCACACGGACCACTGCAGAACTCAACCCGAACTACGTGAAAACGGTTCGAAGAGATAAGCCGAAACGTCGGTATTTGGTAGATCACTCGATTATTTATCTGTTTGAATTGTGTATAAATAAACCGTTTTTATTTCAGTATTTATACAGCTTTCAGTGCGAATATCAACGCATCGAACAAATTACTCAATCTTTGCATAATAAATTGTATTGCTTTTGGCATATATTGCCTGATTCACTGATCAGTCGGTACGTGGAAATGAAGGTAAAATTCAGCTTTCAATTTCAGAAAAGTCAAAGAAACTAAGAGAACATCGTAGCAGGTGAAAACAGCAAATCGCCATACCGACAACGGCTGAAAATAAATCGAACCGTGAAAATAAGTGCTGATCACGAAGAAAGATTTGACTGTTCTGACTTGATACATCTCCTATCTCAAAGGTTTATCCCTGACAACTGTAAGCAGAGCTGCTTTGCCTGAAAAGAGTTGGAAGGTCTAGTCGAAACGTCGTACTTTCATGCGATATTAAAATGCCCTGAGTTTAGTTAGCAAAATTTTTTCCTGATGATAACATTTGCTAGAAAGAACAAAAAGTTTCTTTGAACGTATACATAAACTTTATTTCAGTACAGTAAAAAAATAATAATAAATACAAAAATAACCCGGTATCATAGGTGTACTAGCAGACAACCACTGCCACTGGTGAGAATAAGAAATCTTGTGTCTATTCTCTGGACTTACACAGCGTAATCGCACTGTTCCCCTCGCTTTTACTAGTCTAAGGGACTTACCTTTAAGCAGGTCACGATTCCACGGTTTTTTAACACTAACGGCGGATGAAAAACGGCATCACTATGCATGGCTGAATAAAAACCGAACTAAACACCTACTGAATTGCCACTGTCCGTACGCACGCATACATACACAAAAATAAATAATTAATGTAGAACCTTTCTATCAGGCGTGAACGTGCGATTCGCTCGGTCAATTTTCTTCAGCTCGTCGTATTTTGACTAAAGTCGAATAAGCAGTGAAAAATTAGAACAAGCAAAAGTCAATTATGCCTTACGTTGATGAGATAATTATATGCCGGACGCGTCAGAAACATCGCTGCGTCCGCTCCAAGATGATACGCTGATATCAGAGCCGGTGCCGATGGCATACGTTTCGCATAGTCTTCCGTTTTCAGGCTAGCCGACAGAAAATTAGCAAACTGGATCAATGTTTCCTGGCACTAAACAAACCATCGCTTTTAAAGCGTGTATAAATATAAAATAAAATATTTATAAATATACGCAATATAAAAGTCAACTAACAACTTCATCAATTTAAAATCCCGATGCTCCTCTTCGATTGCACAGGCAGCAGCCAAAAAATTTTGTGTCAAAAATCCTGGTCTACTGCCACCTCGAACAGCTCTCCGGGAAAATTTCTAAGGCGTTATAATGCTAGGGCTCAATATACTTGACCATCGGTCCTGAGCGTTTCTACCAAGAAAATGCACCTATGAGCCTCTCCATGGTATCCTCCTCCTATGCCTATCCACTAATCCATCCAAACCGTGCTCTAGCAATGATGAAGGAACAATCCAAAGCGAGATATTGTATATCACGTTCCAAAGCATGTCGAAGGGAGGGAGTACACCTGTCTGTAAAAGAAGTCTCATTTCCATCGTCTGCATGGGCTCAGACACTTTCAATCAATTTCTAGGGGTTGATACAAAGGCTTTAAGGATATTCATTGTAGAAGTACATCTTCATCAGACCAGTACAACTACTGCATTTCTGCGTTCAGTTAGTTAGTCTGTGTATTGTCACATTCTGTTTGTCGCCGTTCGTGAATGCCATCACAAAAGAGTTATTCTGAATAAATAACAATACCCTTAATAATAATAAAATGACTGACTAATTAGTAGTACATTACCCTAAGTAAAGCTAAATATGGAAATAATATTAGCTAGCCCGATTTCTATCTAAAAACGAAAATTAAATGCTGACCACCTTTATATTAAAATCAGTATATTCCCCATGCATGGTCGAAAACGTCAGTAGATCATATGGAAGATAATATACAAAGAGCGGTTGCTTATCGAATTCTACTTTATATAAGAGCAAATACTGGCTTCTGGCGTAACTATTCGTTTCTGTGTCTATCTCGGACACCTCATCTCCGCCACGAAAAACCGTCTATGTGAAATCACCAGAAAAACAACGATGAAAAGAAGAACCACTATTGGAGGACTGAAAACCTGTATCCAAGAAACTGCTCCTGTGCTTGAAACGGAGAGTTTTTGATCAATGTGTACTACCAGTACTAACCTGTGAATGCGAAACGTAGACCCCAAGCATGAAAGCTATTCATAACCTGCAGACTATGCAATGAAGCATGGAAAGATGTCTGTTGGGTATAAAGAAACGATTGGAAGACAGATGAATGGATAAGAACACAAACAAGAATATGCGATGTAATTGCATGAGTGAAGAAGTTCAAATTGCAATGGGCAGGATACGTTGGAAAGGGTAAACGGCCCATAGAAAAGCTTCTCGAGCGATGGCAGGATGAGCTGAAGAAGTTCGCAGGATAAAGATGGACGAAAATGGCAGATAACAGAAGTCCATGACAGACGACTTCATTTAGCAGTGGCGACAGAGGCTGGTGATAATAACAGTCATCCCTAATCCGTAAACATAAAAACACCTACCACTTTGTAAGTAAACAACTTTCATTGGATAAGAACAGTACCTGATCCAACATTTGGCCAGCGAGTTTCAGATGAATGCCCTGACTTTCATGGAAAACGATGCAGGCGCGTTGCTGCGCCATGAGTAAGCACAGACTGACGACAAGGTCCTCTTGCAAAAGCGCCTCCTTCAATCGGCTGACCGAACGCTTCGTATTGCGCACTTGGCCGAAGCATCCACCCTGAAATAGAAAACAGTAAGTTTATGTTGGTTGTTAGCATGGAAGCGTCTTGAGCTGACCCCCAATTTGAGCAGATCACCACCGGCCAGTGCCTCCAGCTGTTCCTGTGTCAAACCGTTGGTGGTCTCGATGCCACTCATATTTTCCACAATCTCCCGTAAGACGAGCAAATCGAAACTCTTGCCCATTTTCAACTGGTTGGCCACATACTGCAAAACGCCGGTTAAATCTGCGTTGTACTTTTT